TCCCGGGACTCCAGGATCATGACCTGAGCCGAAGGCAGTCGCTTAACCAACTGAGCCACCCAGGCGCCCCCACATTTCTTTTTAAAAAATATTTTATTTATTTATTTGAGAGAGAGAGAGAATGCAAGTTGTGGGGGAGCAGAGGAGGAAGGAGAGGGAGGGGAAAAAAATCTCAAGCAGACTCCCTGCTGAGCGGGGAGCCCAATGCTGAGCTCAATCTCACAACCCTGAGATCATGACCTGAGCTGAAACCAAGAGTCGGACACTTAACCAATTGAGCCACCCAGGCATTCTCATATTTCACATTTATACCTAAGTTTTTTACCTAAGTCTACCTTCCTTTTCCTTTTGCAATGATTGTTTCTTTTTATATCCTGTCATTAAAATGTTTTAAATCACAGTTTAAAATGTCCACAGCAAAACAAAGAGTGTAAAAGATTGTGATAATCTTTTATCACAGGCAGTCTCCTGCTTATCACATTTCCTTTTCCGTGGAGGCTACAACTTTCACTCTTGTTGATTATTTTCATATCTTCCTCCATATCTCTAAATAAAATGTTTATGTTGCTACTCAATTAAAAAAATTCCAAACAAACAGAGGTCCAGGACCAGACAGCTTCAACACGAATTCTACCAGACATTTAAAAAACAGTTAATATCTATTCTTCTCAAACTATTCCAAAAATAGAAAGGAAGAAAAACTTCCAAGTTCATTCTATGAGGCAGCATTACACTGATACCAAAAGCAGATAAAGATACCACAAAAAAGGGGCGCCTGGGTGGCTCAGATGGTTAAGCGTCTGCCTTCAGCTCAGGTCATGATCCCAGGGTCCTGGGATCGAGCCCCACATCGGGCTCCTGGCTCAGCCGGGAGTCTGCTTCTCCCTCTCCCTCTGCCTCTCCCACTGCTCATGCTCTCTCTCTCTCTGTGTCTCTGTGTCTCAAATGAATAAATAAAATCTTTAAAAAAAAAAAAATACCACAAAAAAGAGAACTACAAGACAATATCTCTGATGAACATAGATGCAAAAGTCCTCAACAAAATACTAATAAACTGAATCCAACAGTACATTAAAAAAATCATTTGCCACGATCAAGTGGAATTTATTTCTGGGATGCAAGAGTGCTTCGATATTCGCAAATCAATCAATGTGCTACATTACATCAATAAGAGAAAGGATAAAAAAAAAAATAAGAGAAAGGATAAAAACCATATGACCATTTCAGATAGATGCAGAAAAAGTATTTGACAAAGTACAACATCCATTCATGATAAAAACCCTCAACAAAGTAGGTTTAGAGGGAACATATCTCAACACAATAAAGGCCTTATGTGAAAAACCACAGCTAACATCATGCTCCATGGGAAAAAACTGAAAGATTTCTCCCTAGGGTCAGGAAAAAGACAAGGATGTCTATGCTCACCACTTCCATTCAGCATAGTACTGGAAGTTCTAGTCACAGCAATCAGGCAACAAAAAGAAATAAGAGGCATCCAAATTGGTAAGGAAGAAGTAAAACTTTTACTATTCGCACATGACATGATACTATATATAGAAAATCCTAAAGACTCCACCAAAACAATGCTAGAACTGATAAATGAATTCAGTAAAGCTGTAGGATACAAATCAATGTACAGAAATCTGTTGCATTTTTTAAAAAAAATTTATTTATTTATTTGACAGAGAGAGTGAGAGAGAGCACAAGCAGGGGGAGCAGCAGAGAGAGAGGGAGAAGCAGGCTCCCTGCTGAGCAAGAAGCCCGACGCAGGACTCAATCCCAGGACCCTGGGATCATGACCTGAGCCGAAGGCAGATGCTTAACCAACTGAGCCACCCAGGCGCCCCTCTGTTGCATTTCTATATACCAATAATGAAGCAGCAGAAAGAGAAATGAAGAAAACAATCCCATTTACAATTGCACCAAAGATAATAAAATACCTAGGAATAAATTTAACCAAAGAGGTGAAAGACCTGTACTCTGAAAACTATAAAACACTGATGAAAGAAATTGAAGACAATACAAAGAAATAGACATTTCATGCTCATGGATTGGAAGAACAAATACTGTTAAAATGTCTATCCTACTCAAAGCAATCTACAGATTTAATGCAATCCCTATCAAAATACCAACAGCATTTTTCACAGAACTGGAACAAATGGTCCTAAAATTTATATGGAACCACAGAAGATCCTGAATAGCCAAAGCAATCTTGAAAAAGAAAAACAAAATTGGAGGCATCACAATTCCAGACTTCAAGTTATATTATGAAGCTGTAGTAATCAAAACATTACGTGGTCCTGGCACCAAAATAGACACATGGATTAATAGAACAGAATAGAAAACCCAGAAATAAACCCACAATTATATGGCCAATTAATCTTCAATAAAGCAGGAAAGAACATGCAATGGGAAAAAGACAGTCTCTTCAGCAAATGGTATTGGGAAAACTGGACAGCAGCATGCAAAAGAATGAAACTGGACCACTTTCTTACACCAGACACAAAAATAAACTTAAAATGGGTTAAAGACCTAAATTTGAGACCTGAACCCATAAAAATCCTCGAAGAGAGCCCAGGCAGTAATGTCTCTGACACTGGCCATTGCAAGAGTTTTCTAGATATGTCTCCTGAGGCAAGAGAAATAAAAGCAAAAATAAACTATTGGGACTAGATCAAAATAAAAAGTTTCTGGGGTGCCTGGGTGGCTCAGTCGGTTAAGTGTCCAACTCTTGGATCAGGTCCTGATCTCATGGGTCATGAAGTCGAGCCTCGCATCGGGCTCTGTGCTCAGCAGGAACCTGCTTGGATATTCTCTCCCTCTGCCCCTTCCCCTACTCGTGTTCTCTCTCTTTCTCTCAAATAAATAAATAAAATCTTTAAAAAAAAGTTTCTTCACAGAAGATATTTGCAAATGATATATGCAATAAAGGGTTAGCATCCAAAGTATATAAATAACTTACACTACTCAACACCCAAAAAACAAATAATCCAATTAAAAAATGGGTAGAAGACATGAACAGACATTTTTCCAAAGAAGACATACAGATGGTGCACAGATACATGAAAAGATGTTCATTATCACTCACCATCAGGAAAATGCAAATCGAAACTACAATGAGATATCACCTCACACCTGTCAGAATGGCTAAAATCAAAAACACAAGAAACAACAGGTGTTGGCGAGGATGTGGAGAAAATGAACCCTCGTGCACTGTTGGTGAGAATGCAAACTGGTGCAGCCACATGGAAAACAGTATGGAGGTTCCTTAAAAAATTAAAAATAGAAATACCGTGTGATCCAGTAATTGTACTACTGGGTATTTACCCCCAAAATACAAAAACATTAATTCAAAAGGATACATGCACCCCTATGTTTATAGTAGCATTATTTACAATAGCCAAATTAGGGAAGCAGCTTGGGTCCATTGATAGATGAATGATGAAGAAGAGGTGGTATATATATATATATATATACGATGGAATATTATTGAGCCATAAAAAATAATAAAATCTTGCCATTTGCAACAACATGGATGGAGCTAGAGAGTATATATATATATATATATATACGATGGAATATTATTGAGCCATAAAAAATAATAAAATCTTGCCATTTGCAACAACATGGATGGAGCTAGAGAGTATAATGCTAAGTGAGGTAAGTCAGTCAGAGAAAGATAAATACCATGATTTCATTCATATGTGGAATTTAAGAAACAAAACAAATGAGTGAAAGAAAAAAAGAGAGATATAGGTGAAGGGGATTAAGATTATACTTTATCATGATGAGCACTGTGTAAAGTATAGAATTGTTGAATCACTGTATTATATACCTGGAATGAATATAACACTATATGTTAACTATACTGGAGTTAAAATAGAAAACTTAATAAAAAAATTTAGGTATCTATGGACTTTCTACTACTGAAAATTATACTCTTCTTTCACACACACCCACATTCACACCTGTCCTGCCACACATCCTGCCAGGTGCCAAAGGTGCTTGTGCCCCTTATAGAAGTGCCCTCAATGTTTGCCCATGATTATCTTTCTGGGAACTTTTTTTTTTTTTTAAAGATTTCATTTATTTATTTGACAGAGAGAGAGACACAGCGAGAGAGGGAACACAAGCAGGGGGAGTGGGAGAGGGAGAAGCAGGCTTCCTGCCGAGCAGGGAGCCTGATGTGGGGCTCGATCCCAGGACCCTGGGACCATGACCTGAGCCGAAGGCAGACACTTAACGACTGAGCCACCCAGGCGCCCCCGGGACCTTTCTTCACTTCCCATGAGGAAAGTCTTATTTACTTACTGTACCTGTCTTCCCCTCGTGATAGAGGTCTGGTCTTGTCTACTGTCTTCCTCTCAGAAGGGAGGTTCTTGTGTACTGGATCCCATGTCTTTCTCTTTTTGGTTTATTCCCTCATTTTGGAGAAGCACGTTCTTTCTAGTTTCCTATAAAGGAATTCAGTGCAGGTATATATTTGAGATATATTTTGTGTACTAAAATAGCCCCATTCTACTTTCATACTTAAATGATAAGTTGGTGGGTTTGAAAATTCTATCTTGGAAAATCTTTCCCTTCATAATTTCATCATCTAGCTTTTCAGGGTTGTTGCTGAAAAGTCTGACTTCATTCTGACTCTTGTTTTTGTGTGTGGAATCTTATCTGCTTGTCTTTTTAGCTTTCATTCCCACTATATCCCCTGTTTTGGTTGGGTTGCCTGCAGCAGCAAGTAAATGAAAATCAACTCAAAGTGGTTTAAAAAATAAAATTTTTCTCATATAATTAGTCTAAATGCAGGATGGCTCCAAGGATAGTTAATTCACTAACAAATGAATTATCATTGAACCTAGTCTTTCCATTTTCTAGCTTCCCCCCAACCCCTCTTTTTTTCCTCAGATCAGCTCTCCTTATGTTCATAAGATGGCTACAGCAATTCCAGGTGTATCCAATATCCAGATACTCAGAAGGTATAAAGGAGGAAAAGGTAATCTCTTCATCAGTATCTTTTCTAAGAAAAAAGAAACCTTTCCCAGAACACCCATTCTCATTGGTGAGACTATATCACCTGCCCAAGTCTACATGAGAGATAAAGGGAATGGTACTACCTTGATTGGCTTAAATTAATCAGGATTCACCTTTAGGAGCTTAGGAAGTAACTGGCATCCATACACGAACATGACCAAGTGCAGGAGCATAGATACCTGAACAAGACCAGAGCTATAACAGTAAAGAAGAGGGGAAATGATTTTGGAAGGGAATCAACAATGTGTACTACACTCCTGGACATATTTTGTTTCAGTAATCCTGACTTTATTACAGTTTCCCCAATGTTCTTATTTTTAGGCCTCTAACTTCACATTGGCTCCTGCTGTTCTTGTCACTGTAGGAAGCTGAAGAGTAGGCTTGATTTCTGGAGTCTCCCTAGGAAGCCATTTATCTCCATACGCTTGACTAGCATTAGATTAACCTTGAATCCTCTATAAGTAAAAGTCTGAGTGTTGACACTGGGTGCTCCCTTACCCACTGAGATGGGGTCCTGGCGCAGGTTTGTAATGAAGTTCTCCTGTTCTCCCATCACCACCAAGGCTAATTGGTTCAAGGAGAGAATACTGAACCCAAGTTTAACTAATCGGATTCTCTCCCTATTTGGTATTAGGACTGAAAGAAAGTCAGTCTCCATTTGCTTCAAACTATCACTTCAAACTCAGGAGGGGCAGCAGTATTCCATCTCGTGCTTTGAGGAACAGAGAAATCTTTGTAGGGAGAAGGAGCAAATGCACAGAGAGAAGCAGGAATGAGATGGAGTGGAGTGTTCCTGGCTTCCTACTTCTTGATTTCAGCCCGTCTGAGGGTTGGCTGCATTCCTTGCCCTTGTGTCTTGTGAGATAGGCAAGTATCCTCATTTTAAATCCCCCTTTTGATTTAAACTAGTTTCCTGGATGTTCTGCTATTTTTAGCTATAGCATCTTAATTTAAGGAGTTATGACCGATCCTTCTGGACTAGGGCTATGAAACCTGAGGGCTTGTGACTTTATCTTGAGGCTCAGGGTCTCTTTCTTTTTCCCTTATCAGCAGGTTTTATTTATTGTCAACCTTGTGGGGGATCTGGTATGCTTGGGAAGGGGAGCTGAGGTGTTGTAAACAAGAATGGGTAGAAGGGCATGTGTTTGGTTCATGCAGAGACGAGTAGGATGTTTCACTTTTCTTCCATGTAGCCTAAAGTAAGCATTAATAAATATTTGAACAGATAAGTAGTCTGTACCTCATAAATCTGAATCTGATAAAAGATTAAATCTTAAATTGATTGTTGATAGCTGTTGTGTCACACTGACGTCTGTAACTGTGTTATTAATTGTTGCATCTGTGGTCATTGTGTTGGGGTATCAGACTTACATTTATGAGCTGACTCCACCTTCCTGTTATGCAACCAGTTTGTTGTAGGTGGGACAGTTCTAGTGCTGACACAGGAGACCACACTTAAAGTCCTGAGGAGTTAAAAACAGCTTGGGATCTGAATAAGCACTTTTGCTCAGAATCTTTGCATTGTGTCAACTTTAATCATGCATTGGCCTCTTGGCCAACTTTCATCACTTCTTGACCCAATTCCTCATTTGTATGGTGTTTCTTTGGATAAACTGGAACTACAGTTTTCAGAATCCTCTTCCTTGTGTGATTTGCCTTAGAGTTGGGGGAAAAAAAGCCCAGTATGAGATTTGGAAGGTAGTAGTGAATGAGCAGTCATGCTCTGGAAGAAACACGCAGAGAGGTTTGCATATGTCAGTTGTCCCCACTCTCCACTACACTGGTGGCAGGTTCCGCATGTTCTTGCTCTTGCCTGCCCCATACCTGGCTCTTCTCTCAAGTGCAGGCCCTGCTGACCAGCAGTGACTCCAGGCTGGGCTGTTCCACTCTCACAGCTGAAGTGCCTGGTTTCTCAGATGGCTTTGCAAACTCCATCTTGCCCACCTCTGCCAGCACTAACAGAGGATTGGCCAGTGACTTTTCCCTGATCCTTCAACTTCTGCTTTTCCCTTGATTCTCCTGCTTCTTCAACGATAGTGGGTAGAAGTCATCATAGCTTCTAGCATATAATGAATCCTCAATTAACATTTACTAAATGATCTTTAGTTTATAGAAAGAAGAAAAGAAGGAAAGAAACTACTTGGGGCACCTGGGTGGCTTAGTTGGTTAAGCGTCTGCCTTTGGTTCAGGTCATGATCCCAGAGTCCTGGGAATAGAGTCCTGTGTCCAGCTCTCTGCTCAGTGGGGAGCCCGCTTCTCCCTCTCCCTCTGCCTGTCACTCCCCCTGCTTGTGCTCTCTCTCTGTGTCAAATTAATAATTAAAATCTTAAAAAAAAAAAAAAAAAAGAAACTACTTGTCTCATTGAATTGGCCTAGATGCCAGATGGTGGAGATTCTCTTCACAATTTTGGCTAAAAGTAAAAGGTGCTTTCCAAACTCTTATTACTTACTTAAAATAATTCCACAAAGCATATTCCTTAAAAAAAAAAACAACACACAGTTGAAATAGAGAAATGAAAGTAGCTTACTTAAGATCCTGGGGCAAAAGAGGAAGTAAACCAAAATTAGAACTTGTAGTTATGTTTTCCCTAACTTACAGCTGAAGTCCGCTTAGCAGCTCATTAAGTTTTATCTTTCTTACTTTATTAAACCCACTTTTGTTCACCGTCACCTCTTCTGCCCCTTGCGTGTATACACATGTATATTTGTCTAAACACCACCAGGAAAAAATATATCAAAGTTTATGGAAGTACCTGTTGAAAGTATGGCTCTCCAAAGGGGATTATATTCAAGTCAACTTAATGAGTATTTATTGAGCATCTACATGTCAGAAAACTTAGACTGCAGGCCAAGTAAGGATGAATAGAGAGCCAATGTGCTGTGGTGTTGCTATTGGAGAAACTTTACAAAGATTCTTTAATGTGGAGCCATTGTTGGTTATTACTCAATTCCTATTCTCAGTACCCTGTCTTTTTCTCATTCCTCAGTTGAGTCTTGGGGTTGTGGTTTCCACATGAACATACACCCAAAGTAGCTTAATGAGATTCAGCAGAAATAGGTCCTCCAGGCCATGGCCCTTCTAAGAGAATATTTTGTTATTCCCTAGGCAGGTAGTTCTTAAAATTTACTAGTAAACCTTCACCTGGAAAGCCTCTTTAAAATGCAGAATCCAGGGCGCCTGGGTGGCTCAGTCGTTGAGCGTCTGCCTTCGGCTCAGGTCATGATCCCAGGGTCCTGGGATCGAGCCCTGCATCGGGCTCC